AGGCTTTGGACTCGTGGGTTATTGCACAACCTGCTTGCACTGAGTTAAAAGCGTGTTTAGTAAAGAAGGCATGTTGGTCTCTTTGACATCAAGGCATGAATGACGTGTACGTGAACTGTTACATACGGAGCTTCAGGTATACGTGTGCCAGAAGGCTGGATGAATGAACAGTTTGACAGGAAAAAATTGCTTCACATATGAGGTGATCTCCAGCTTCTCAGTGCGGTCCAGTAAAGTTCCCCCAGCTCTGTTCCTGCAGAGACTTTGCTGGCTTCCAGAGTGATGCCCGCAGTCTCTACCAGCATCTCTGTCACCTCTGCTGGGGTCCTTGCAGAACTGACAGTTCTGAGGCAGCATCTGTTTTCACAGGAGGTCTCTGCAGTGTGTTAATGTCAGAGGTGTGAGGCTCCTGCTGTGGAGTGAAAATCTGAGTAGTTCCCATGTAGATTTTGTCAAAGATTCTCATGCAACCTTAAGATCGATGAGGATGTCACAACCAGCAACAACTTTATTACCTATACAGCACTTGTTACCTGTCTTTGCTTTCTTTGCAAACTCCACAGCAACGACCAACTGGATGGAAACGGTGCCCCTGTTGCTGGTGTGCTCACCTTCCTTGGAACCAAACTGGGACTTTTTAGGATGAGTTGGAGAAGTGTGAATTGCTTTCTCCTTCTGCAGAGCCAGTTTTACCCTGACCAGCGCTTTTCTGGACACGAGCTGTTATTCTTTTACTACCTTTGACCATCTGTAATGGTCCACAATGGTTTCTGGGCACTGTAGTCCTTGACTTTACTATTTCATGTCTGAGACTTCTGAACTCCCTGTCTGCTTCAGTGTGGAATTGAATTGGATCCTGTAGGAATCATCAGGTTTTTTGTTGCATTGGGTCACATAAACGCTTGTTGCTATGTATACTGAAAGAGTCAAACAGCTCCTTTCTGTGACTGCTGGATGGGATTTCAATCTTGCCATGAAATTCAGCAAGAATGGAAATGTTTTGTGGCCACAAAAAGGAATGGCAGCTAGCAACAAGAGCTTTAAGTGCTTCTGTTTGAAAATTTTTCAGAATGATGTTGCAGGCATTGATTATTTAATCTCTCTAAAAAGGAGATTGATTTTTATCTCCTGACATGCAAGATACCTGTTTCAGTCTGGTTTTCACTTCCAGATAAAAGCCCTGCCTTTGGTGTTTCTGTGGGAGGGTCCTCAGAGAAGTGTTCATTCCAGTGTTTGATCACCAGAGATATCAATGTATGAGGATTTTAATTTCTGAAAGATTGGCTTATAAAAGGCTCTTCATGATTTATGTAACTAATTTGGGAGGCCTGTTTGCAGGTTTGAGGCTTGCTGGGTCCTAGACTAAATATGTAGAAATTGTACCTAATTCTAAGCTGGTGTTGGATGCGGTTTCAGATGTTTCTTTCTCAGAGCCGTTGCCGCACTCTGCTGAATCCAGTTTTCACTAGTTTTCAGCTCAGCTTAGATGCGACTTCTGCATATTTAGTGACTCTCAGAGGATTCCTTGAACTTGTCTGGTCTCCCTTTTGACTGCTTGTAAATGGCTACAGTATCCTGTGGCAAGGCATTTTACAGCTTACCAAAGTTTGGTGCAAGGAACCACCTCCTTTCTATTGCTTTGATCCTGCCTTCTCTGAGCTCCGTTTGATTTGCTCTTGTGTTGTGAGAGACTGAAAAATTGGTTTTTTCTCCATCTTAAGCCACTTGTGACCTTCTATGACATCTGTGATGTCTTTTCCAAACTGAAGAATCTTTGCTTGCTGAGGTCTCACTTAGGTAGAAGATGTATATTTTTAATCACCTGTCTGCATCATTTCTAGTTCTGCTTCCCCCCCCCACCCCCCCAGTTAGAGGAGAGGTATCAGAAATGCAGGTAGAGCTCCAGAGAACGGTGCTCTGGGGACTTTTGTGGTGGCAGAGTGCTGTTCTTTTGAGGTCTCTGTTCATTTTTCATAGACTTTTAATTACAGCTGCCTCTCTCCTCAGCTCTGGCCTCATTCTGATGCAGTGGGTTTTTAGATTGCTCTCGTTGAACCTCCCGTTACAGCTCTTTCAGTATTTACTGTAGTTCTGCCAGCGCCACATACGCTCTGTGACTTGCCCTGTGCCAAGACTGTGTTTTCACCGCCCTTCAGCATCCACATCCATCCCGCTGTGCCTGTCCTGACAAACCAGGGCTTCCCAGTCAGTGAAAGGCTGGAGAAGGGAGTAAGAGGCTGCGGGCGGCGAGGGAAGAGAAGCATGCCCCGCGGTCAGTGCCACTCTGCAGAGCCTGTTGGCTGCAGTATTTGGGGGGGGTCTCAAGCCCTGTAACAGTGCACACCATACCCGGAGAGTGTGGCTGCCTTGCTAGAAGTCATTGCTGAGCCTGGGTTGGCCAATTCTTTCTTTGCTGAGGTACTAGGAGTGAGCTGGTGTCCTGAAGTTCTTGTATCATCAGGAATTGGTCTCCAGGGTAGTAAATCACTAGCTTTTGTGGGTTTGTGCCCATAGCTGCTGGTGCTACCAATGCAGCAGCACGTTAGGACTCAGGAATAAGTGAGTTTAAAATGAATTCCACCTGACAGATTTTTAAGAGGCGGCTGGATGGGAGACAGAAAAAAGTAAAACTTAAAAAGACCGCACATTACAGAAATTAGCTTATCTGAGTAGCAGGAGTCTCCTGCTGCAGGTGCTACAGTGTGCTCTTAATAGCACTTTCAAAGAATTCAACCTTTTCTAAACTTTTGTCGTGTTAGGTAATTTTGACATTGTTGAGCATGTCCGTGCGATCTGGTGCAAGCAGGCACACACTCACCTTGTTTCTGTTCCACCTTGCTTAGTTTTTGTCTCTTCAGCAAAAGGTGATGCTCTTTTTACTGCAAGCATTTTCTTCTTCTTCCAGCCTGTAAACTGCTGAATATAGATGTGTGGGGACTTCAGCAGTTATACTGACTGTCTGTCCGGTTGCAAGGTTTTGGTTTTGTTTGCATCATTTACAGACAAGCCTGAATACAAGCCATCCTTCCTGCCAGTAAACTACCCTTTTGTGTAGAATAGTAAATATTTTCAAGATCCTTTTGATACTGTCCTTATTTGAGTGTTCTGCTGAATGTCAGATAAAAAGGAATTAATTCAAATTCAAATGAACTTTGTTCATCTTTATAAAGAAAGACAGTGACTGTATCACTGCAAACCTAACATCACACAGAATAAGGAAAAAAACATACTGAATTAATTCAGTAAATATTTCATAAGGTGTCTTATAGCATCTGTAAACATTTGTGTGTGTTTTGCAAAAGAAACATTCACAAGTGCTCCTGTGTTTCTGTTTCCTAGTTTAGTGCCTATACTGCAGAAATACCTAGAAATTCCGTCGGGGTTGCAGTTTGGTTATGCTGGTCAGTGCAGGCACCCCCAGACTAACAAAACGCTGATGGCGTACAAAGCATTTGCACCCTGGGTAGTTTGACTTGCATGCTGGTGCTTCCCCATGCTGTGCCAGGATCTGCTTTCACGTGTTGTAAGTTAGCGCAAGTATTTTATGATGGGGAGAAGTGTAACCGAGTCTTTCCAAAACAGATTGTGATTCTTGTGGCTTGTGGGGATTTTTTCCAAAGGTGTTGATCTGGTGTGGTACTAGTTCTCTTTTTAAACATAATCTTTGCTTTTTCATGATCCGCTTCTAAAGAAAACTGAATTTGTCACGTTTATAAAATTAATGAAACTTTTTCTTTCTAAAAAAAAAATCATTAGTCATTCAAAAAAGGTCAGTAGTGGATGTAGTAGATAAGAATTCAAAAAGGCACAGAACAAAAGCCAGATCGTAGGTTGCTGCGGTGTGACAGATTGAGGAGACTTCTGTCATCTCTCCTCGAAGTTAGCGCTAAAGCGAATGCT